TGTTTAATATTACGTCCGCGCGCTGTTCATATAAAGTGACTGCAAAGTATTTCGGTAAGTTCACCAAGTAACTTTAGAAAACTAAAGACCGACTTGTGTCAAAGAGCAGGTTTTTTACGCAGCATTCCTTTCACTGACTTTTTGTAACCTCACGTGTTTCAGTTTCAGGAAGAAAATACAGTGGATTTTATTTCTTAATATATTCTTGTATGCAACACACATTTCTCCTTGAATCAAAACGAATAATTACAATGGTAACGAGGAACCAATTTTGATTCTCCAGTGGGGAGGAAATGGACTGTCACAAAAAGAATTACAAACAAGAGAAAAAAAAAAATGAAGATATGGAACATTCTGATGGATGCCGCCAATTTCTTGTCTGCGCACCAAAAATACTTCTGATTTTTGTTACGCTGATCAACTGACTACTTACAATCTTCTGGAAAACATTGAGACAGGACCAAACCATTTTGAACTTTACAACAGTTAAGCAAGTGGATTACCGCCAACTTAACGTTAAAAAACTAAGATGACCAGAATAGTCGAGATGTCACGAATGATATCAATTTTTTTAGAATCCGGGTCTGCAAGGCCACCTTTTGTTCAGTTTTAAGTAAGTATTCTTTTTTTATTATATATTAATTTATCTTTTTTATTACCATTATATTACGGAATTGACGAGAAACTAACACAGGCTAATCAGTTAAATCTATTGTTTTAGGTGTTAGCAAAGAGCGTGTTAGACGCGTAGCGTGTTGCTATGAAAAAATGCAACAAGGTCGGAAATAAAGGTGGTTTTTGAAATGGTGAAGCGAAAAAGGCGAATAAAGAGCGTATAATCAACCACAATAAAGCTTTAAATGTCGTGGAAGTCATTATGAAAGAAGAGGAGGACCTGGTCGGAAATACCTCCCAAATGACCTGAGTATTAAAAAAAAATGTACGGACTTTTCAACGAAAGTAGCCGAGTCAGTTATTATTTGTATTATCAAATACAGAAATTCAATTTGAGACTTTGACATCGTGAATTTGAAACATGCGCTACCTGCAGTATTGACAGCGATGAAGAGTGTTATGATTTGCATGGAGTAAATTTAGATTATTCAATAAAAATAAACAAGTTTTAAATTTAAATAACTTCGTTTTATACAATTTCCTTTCTTTTAAAATTATTCTCAGAGATATCATCAGAATTTCCCATTCAGGACAGTTATATTCCTCAAAAAATATGTGATGTGAGGTGAAGACTAGATCACATTCAGAATCAGCACAAATAAAAAAAATGATTTGAAAAACTGACATTTTCCCTAATTTTGGGGGCTGTAGTTGAGAGATAGAATTTTTAGATGGTGGGATTTTACCTAATATAACAGTTTTGGAGACACTTCTGCATATGCCTTCGCCTTATCACCAACTGTCTACTTTATTATCAATAGTTTCTATTATTTCAAGTAGAAACATTGTTTATAGAGATGTAATGGATTTATCAGATTTTGCAAAAAAACATTTTATGAATTTATCGGATTTTGCAAAAAGAAAATACGTTTTCAATGAATAATATACTTTTACAGTCAAATTCTCGATTTAAAATTTTCGTTTTTTTCTAGTCAAGTGATGATATATTAATGTTAAAAAACAAACAAAAGTGGGCCTTATCCAACCATATTTGAGATATTAAAACGTCTTCTATCTAAGTTTGAAGAAAAATTAATTATCGTGTTTTGCATTCGATATCTTCATTTTGTTATGTGCCCTGCCGAAAGAAACATTTACAATAACTAAACCATTATTGTCTTTTAGTATTTCGTATATGGTTGGAATAAGAGCCCATCCGACATTTTTTTTCTCAGCTTTTGCAATGAAGTTACCTGCAATTAGAAAAAAGTCAATGAAATATTTTTTGATCTTTCTGATTGTATTTCTGATATAACTGGTCATATTTTGTTGTGTTTTCTATAACACACTCCGTGTGGGAAGCTGAAATATTCATGTGCTTAATGCGATTTTCAATTTTAGCTTCGATGCAATGAATATGCATACACCTGGGTTCTCTCATACAGTAATATGATTGGCTGGTGTCAACCATAAATACAAACTGATGTGGAGGTACAGGATGACGCCTATTGCATACGCCTATGGCCCACGCCTATGGCCTACGCCTATTGCCTACCACTACGACGAGGACCAGCCCATTACGGTTACCTGTTAGATTGTCCTACTCGGTTACAGTAGTCCAAAACCACTTTGCTACAAATATATCGCTTTCCGAGACATATCACGTTTTTATAAGGTGGTTTGGAATAACAATAATTTTGATACTTTTATAATCTAAAAAAATACATGATTAGTAATTACGAAAAGCTGAACGTGATTACCTACTGTAATTTGAAATTTAAAGTTACAAACGCCAGATTATAATTTTGGTATTCAACTGTTGCGAGTAACTCGTGAGGCTGGCAGTTGTAATTTGTTTTTAATTTGTATATTAATGTATAAGGCACGGTGGAGTAATGAATAGCGGTTCGGAGTGAGGAATCGGCGAACCTTGTTCGAATCCATTACATTCTCTCCACAAAATAAATAGAAGGACGGGCCCGGTTCTATAGCCTTGGATAGTAAGTGGTCTACCGCAGAAAGAAATGGCAACCTACTGCGGGAAATAATCTGCCTCGTCAGTCCCGTATCGAAAGATGCATGATCGTCTAAGCGTGTATCACGCACGGAACATAACTGACTGAATGTATAAATATGCGTTTATAAATGTACAGATCATGGTCCTTCACAACTTTATTGTCTTCACTTAGTGGCGTCTTACCTTTTAACATTCCTGTTTGTTCCTTTTCTATTACCATTCTTATACACACTCATGAAGTAGATTACTCGCTTTTGCCTCGGCTTCTCTTGATTTCAGTATTTCATATGAGTGCCAAATCCTCCGAAATAACTCTCCTTATTATTGTCTTTTTCTGCATTCTTAAATCTTTTCTTTGCTTAGATATTCTTAGAATTCTTCAGTAGAAACCCATTTTTATGCTTGTAGTCTTTTCTTCACTTTTGGGGAGATTTTTCACCATTCCCTACTATACTGGGTATTGTATATTACATAGCTGTCCAGCACTAGTGTGTTTTTCCAGGTAGTATTTACTGTTTTTTAAATACTTTGCATAGTTTCTGGTGTTTAGTTTTTGATATTTCCATTCAGCTTTAGATTTCGGGGATCATATTTTCTGTGTTCTACTCATAGATTACGCTCGCAAAACCACCTCCACTACTAGTACTTCTCCTCCTCCTACTACTTCTTCATACCGTGATTCTTTAGCGCGTAGATGATGAATCACACCATCACTTGTAACACTTATTAACGTTTGTCCCTTTGTCAAAATTCTGTGTACAAGAAAATTGTTATGGTAATTTACCCACACACGTATGGACTTTCCCAGCTATAAACAGGAGCAGTTACTGCCTTTTGGAGAGTTAAGTTTCCAGCAGCGAGCTCTAAAAGTCGGACCAAACATTCTTGCTGTAACACTCTCGTTTGTATATGTTTGCATTACTGTTTCTGTTAATATATTCAACTCATTTCCTCTCTCGTGTTTTTATTTCTAGCCCTAACCAGGCTACAACAAAAATTCAGTCTTCTGTTTCTGGTTCTGAATATAAATGTTGTTTTTGTTTCCATTTTCGACCGTGGTATTCTCAGCATGCTTCTGTAGAACCAAATTTCTGATGCCTCTATTTTTTAAATTCATCTGTAAGTAGATTGTCTAGCATTCACCGCCATCACAAGCGGATTTATATAACAGTTCAGTACAGTTTATTTCTTACGAAATTTGCCAGTTTCTCATTCTGTTGCTTCGTTTTCGAAAGACCTGTTTTTTTTTTGCCATTTGTATAGAGTTAGATGCGTGAATGTTTTTTGATTCTATCGTTTTCTATAGTTAGCACATATTTTACATTTTTCTATTTTCTAGAAAGCAATATATTCCATCTTCTTATATCCAGTTAACACGTTCTTGCAACGTTTCCTAGGGAGATATGTGAAGTTCTAGCGACATTACTGTAACATTAAGATTAACTCATTTTGCCACAACTTGATGGTAACTCTGCGAAGAACTGTATCTGAAAAATGCCAGCTTGGTCAATTATAAGATCAGGCCAGTTGTTCTTTATTTAATAACACGCATAAAATATATAATAACGTGCACAGAAAATATAATAACATGTATATAATAACATGTATAGAAAACATTTATTTTCGCATTGTTTAAAGTGATAATCACCAATTTAGATGACGAATGCATGTTTTGAATTTGTTAACTATTTTCTGTTAATGTAACGTTACAATGGAACATATACGCAACGATAAAATTTAATATTGCGGGCACGTTTTGTGGAGTATATAATTAAACTTTATTTTTCGGAATATATGTATCCTTACGGAAAGGTTTTAGCAACGTCATTTCGTCAGCTGCGTAGTTAATAATACTTTCTTCCCGTTTTCTTAACTTACTTGACTTAGAATCCTTTCAGAACTCCTTCTGTGTCTGTAGCTCTTAAATAAAAATTACGAGGGCTTTTATGTTTCCATATAAACTAAAATGAACATTTATTTTTGGCAAGTTTATTAATTCTGTGTTTATACCAATGTATTTATATATATATATATATATATATATATATATATATATATATATATATATATATATAGATAGATAGATAGATAGATAGATAGGGAGAGAGAAAATTTGCTTTTTTTTCTTTCCAAAGAGAATTATAAGAGGTATTTATTTAGTAATAATGCGAATCGACTCCTACGCACTTGAGGAAAACTGCTGAGATTCGCGATTGCCTTGAAGCTTAACTCAACGTATCTGATTAGAAAGTAACTATTTCTGAAGAAATGAATTCGAACTAACAGAATAAAGGAAAATTTATTTGTCGCCTTAAGACATCACACTCTTGAAACATAGCTTAGTATACACACACACGAACACACCCACATATGGATAGATAGAGAAAGAGAGAAAGAGAGAGGGAGAGAGAGAAAGGAAGAGAGAGGAATAGAGACCTATCAAGGTAGAGTAAGGGATAGAGAATGTAAATTATATATATATATATATATATATATATATATATATATATATATATATATATATATATATATATATATATGTATATATATATATGTATGTATACATATGCATATATTTATATATATACATATGTACATATATATATATATATATATATATTCAAAAAGTGTAGCAAAATATATATTTGTATTAGAGAACATAACAAACGTTCGAATATTAACCACATTCACAATATTTCAATTTATATGAGTGTGTGTATGAATATGCCTCTGTCTTTATCTCTCCCTTTCTCTCTCTCTCTCTCTCTTTCTCTATATATATATATATATGCATGCATATTAATATATATTTAATTTTTTCGCCTTAAGTCATCACACGCTTTTCAAAACGTTATATATATATATATATATATATATATATATATATATATATATACATGTATATATACATATATATACATATATGTATATATATTTAATTATATGCATATATATATACACATATATATATACATATATATATGACATTTATATATATGTATATCATATATATATATCATATATATTTAAATATAGCATATATGTATATGATATAAATATAATATGTATATGACATATATATATATATATATATATATATATATATATATATATATATATACGATGCGCTGAGGAGGAAAGTAACATATAAATTCCAACGCTCACAGCATTAATCCAAAAGAGGGCTCGATATCGATATTAGAGCGATATTTATTCCTTTATTATAATTTTATCATATAAACAAAATCATCATCCTAAATTGCAGGAAATCAATTATGATACACAAAAACGAACAATGGTTGAAAAAATCTGGTGAAAACTTTGATATATCGATGGAATCGCTGGATTCTCCCGAATCATCGGACTTGGTTGGACTGTTTATTCTATACATTCTCACAGCTCACAATGAAAATAATCTAAATAATATAGGGATTTATAAAGACAATGGTTTTATGGCAGTGAATAATTGTACCGGAAGCAAAGTTGACAAGTTGAGGAAATGGATCCATACAGTTCTTAAATCTTTACACCTCAAGGTTAAAATTAATTCAAACATAAAACAAGTAGACTTCTTAGATGTAACCTTAAACTTAACCTTAAATAATTTCCAATCCTTCTTGGAAAATAACGCTAACCCCATTTATATAAACCCTAATTTCAATCACCCAACGCCAGTTATTAAACATATCCCATCATCCGTTGAACGCCGTATAAACAAGCACTCATCTATCAAGGAAATATTCGATAAACACAAAATTATCTATAACAAAACCCTTATCGAATGTGGTTACAGATCTTCAGAAATTAAATATAGAGAAAATTGTAGTTATTCTAAAAAAAAAAAAACAATAGAGGAAGGAGAATAATTTGGTATACACCTCCCTTCAACAAATTAGTCCGTACCAAATTAGGACACAAATTCTTAAATCTAATTAACAAGCGCTTCCCTACGGAGAGAAGATAGATAAAATTATTAAATCACATAAAAATAGAATACTGAAACTTCATAGAGATAATAAACGCAACCTAAATACAAGTTCTAATACACCCCAGGAAAAAAGGCTATGTAATTGTAGAATCCCCGATCAATGTCCATTATCAAACAGGTGCTTAACCAAATCAATAGTGTATATGTGCTATACCTCATCAAATGAGAACCCCAGAGATATTAGGCTGTATGTGGGGTCAACTAGCAGAACTTTTAAGGATAGGTAATACAATCACATGAACTCCTTTACAAATACGGGCAAACGAAATATGACATCACTTACGAATTATTTTTGAAAACTCAAGGTAGAAGGAAAAACACCTAAGGTTAAATGGAAAATCCTCAGACAAGCCAGAACCTGCAATTTCCTGAGCAAACCTTGCTTCTTATGTTTACAGGAGAAAATATGTATCATTGAACTCTTGAATAACACCCAATTATTAAATCAAAGATATGAAACAACCGTTTTCTGTAGACATACTAAGGATCTAACACTACAATCATGTTAAATTCTTAATTCAATAACTATAAACTTTTTAAAATTATAAATCATCTCCTTCGATATATTCCCAACCCTCTTATGTACCTCTCCACTAATTAAATTATGATTCTTAATTTTTTTTTCTTTCATATATATTACTGGTAATATTTTTAGATAAATGGCTTTTACACCCATACTTATTCTACACGTTATACGGTCCAGACATTTTTCAAAATTTGATTATAAAAGGTTATATTAAAATCCCTTATTTTTTTAAAGAGAATCACCACTTCTAAATTTAATCCACAAAACACGTTCATTGATTACATAATTAGTAGTGATAGCCCCAACATAAATTCATGCAATTCAGCTCTAGAATTTTTATAGTAAACCAAATTAGCATTTCCAATTACGACTAGAAGTATCGATACAATTTTTACCTACTTAAACGTAATACTATCCCCTATCTCCATCTTTTCTCCCATACCTTTCATTCTTAGGACGCTTGTGAGATGATGTGCTTGGACTTTTGACCGGTGTTTATCAGCAGGAAAATTTTCACAGACCAGTCAACATTAATCACCCAATCCATTCATCACCAAACTGCTATCAATAGGTACTATTGTTTCCCTCCGTCACCTATATTTTTCTCAAACAAATGGAAAAAGTAAGTAACGTTTCACACACGGCTTGCCTACAAGCAGGTTTGTTCATAACCATTTTCGATTCTCACCCGTCGAAGTGCAGTTGAAATGCATTGAAATCAAGTTGCATCTTTGTAGTGAGTAAAATGGTTTTGTCTATATGATAAAGGAATATATATATATATATATATATATATATATATATATATATATGTGATAGAAATTATTAGGAGGATTTGATAATTATATTTAAGTAATTCATCGAGTCTGAAAGAAACCTCTGGCCGTTTCATCCTATATTTGGGACTCATCAGCAGGGCGCATCCACTACCGAGAATTGTAACCCTGACAGTTACGTTGTCAAGCAAACAGCATACCAAGTGTTCCAACGGGCCTCAGTGACGAAGAAATTGCAAATCTGACTCAATGTAGCGCCACTCACTCACATATCCCGTGGTGGAACTCTACTGAGTTCTCTCTAACCATAGGACTGTGCACCCTGGAGCCATGACTACTATGTCTTCGTTACCGAGGATCGTTGGAACAGTTGGTATGATGGTGGCTTGACAACCTGTCAGGGTTTCAATTCTCGGTAGTGGATGCGCACTGCTGATGAGTCCCAAATATAGGACGAAGCGGCCGTCCAGTTTTTTTAGCATTCTGTTGAGGTTTCTTTTTCAGACTCAATGAATTATATATATATATATATATATATATATATATATATATATGTGTGTGTGTGTATGTATGTATATATTTATGTATGTGTGTGTGTAAGAAAAACAATAAGATTTCTGTAATATCAGTCTTCCAGTATGTCAGTGAATGCTAGACAATCTCCTCACAGGTGAAAAGAAGACTTGAAGCAACAGAAATGGAAACATAAAGTGGTCTGTTTTTCCTTTAATATATATATATATATATATATATATATATATATATATATATATGAAAGGTGACTTGAACCAACAGAAATATGGTTCTACAGAATGATGCTAGAGAATGATCCTGGACCGAACATGTGAGAAACGATGAAATTCTAGAGAAAATGTAAACAAAAAGCACACTTATAATTAACATCACGAAATCACAGTTGAAAATTCTAGGGTAAATAATAAGGAGAAAGGGCTTAGAAAATTTGCTACTCACAGAACAGGTTGAATAGAGGGACAGAGAAAAAAACGTATAACCTACCTAGAGAGCTTGACTTAATGGATGGCAGAACAAGATTTAGAGTAGCGTAGATTAGCGAATGCATTCTCCACAGCATTTTTTTTTTTAACTCTATCAAGGTTGGAAATAGGGGGTTGAACTGCTACATCCCAGATTCTATATTTTTGGTCTGGTATATCTATCTAAAGATAAAACATTTCTGATGGGGTCAGTTTCTTCTTGAAGTGACTGTATGCGCTCACTATTCTCATGCTTCTTTAGTAACGGTTTATATATGTTTTACATGCCGTACCTATTAACACTAATGGGCATATCCCAGTCCTCATAAATACGTTGTACACTACTGTAAGTGGGGATAATATGCTGTATAAGTAGTTCACCACTAGCAGTGGTTTACCCACTTCACGCCGGTAGCGAGTATTTTATTTGCTGATGTTATAAAGATCACCGTTTCATTTTCAACCTCCGTGTGGTCCTTTCTCATTCAGTAACCATTTCTAGGTTACAACAACGTATCTTACACTTGATGTTTAGAGTCGACATTCAAACCAGAGACTCTCACTCAAAGGGGCACCCCCTGAGTCTCCCTCTGCCCGAAGACAACTATGTATTTATTCATGTCTCCACACTGAGACGGAATGGGACACAAAATCAGGTTTAACGCTGAGAACCCGAGCGTGAACCCCCGGCTCACTGGTCCCAAATTTATTACGAGAGACACAATAAGTAGGCATTTACCCATGTCTTTCCACTGAGTCGTGACCTGACACACGGTGTGGTTAACGTGAGGAATCCGGGCGCAAACTGTTGGGCGACATGCTCAAAATTGACACATTCCGCACAATTGCAGAGAAGGACAGTTTGCCTGTATGCCTTTATCAGCTGAGCTTCTATCCGTAGCCTCCATTGAGTCACCCTCTAACTTAAGACAGAGGTCTTGTCAGCCGCTACCAGCCTTATCTCTGACATGTAGCTCTTTAGTGTAATGGAATAATTCATATGGCCACCTGGAATGTACTATTTACTCGACACCAACATGTATAAGAATAAATTAAATACTTGGGTACGAGCTGAAGCGGACGATAATTCCCATCGAATGACACCTTTGGAAGGTGCCTGAAATCCATAGCACCGGTTGACTCAAGCCTTGTGAGTGGAATTGGGTAGACGGAACCCTTGGGGTGGCCGTCGATAGCTGTGCTAGAACGAAGTCAGAAGTCATCGTGGCCGAGGGCTTGAGTGTGCTGGCCTTGTTCCCATTGTTGTTTTTCCCCAGATATTCTGACTAAGGTCTGCTCAGCATAGTTGCACTAGAAACGACAGGTGGTCTCTGTGAGTGTTGAATAAACACAAATGTTCCTAAGCAACGTCTGCAATAAAAATTGGGTAGCCGCCCTATTAAATGGTTATCCTCGAATACGAGTGGCCAGCTACACACACACACACACACACACACACACACACACACACACACAGACAGACACACACACACAGACACACTCATACAGAGAGACACGCACACACACATATATATATATATATATATAAATATATATTATATATATATATAAATACATATTTTATATATATATAAATATATATTTTATAAATATAAATATAAACATGCCCTCACAGCCACACACACACACAAACACACACACACACACACACACACACACACACACACACACATATATATATATATATATATAAAATATCGCCGTCTTCTGCCCTATCTCGTATCTATTATTTAATGATTATTCACCGGCAACGTTTTCATGCAATCCCTATCGCCGTTTGGCTTTGTAAGTGCTGCTTGAATGCGAAATGATATCAGAGTAGAAATCAGTGCCAATGGTGTGAATTTGTTTTCGATGTACACTTTATTTCATGATCTTCCTGTGCAGCCCATATGAAACATACAGAATCCAGCTATGAAAATGCAGCGGGCTTCCGCTTTATCTGTTATAATTTTGACTTGTGCCATCCGTAGCAGGTCCGTCATTTGTAGCCCACTTCATTCGCTCGTTCAACCGTTGAGAATTTTTTGTCATCATCATATTCTTTTTTCAATTTTGGGTTCTTTGATCTTGGTCGCTCATAGTCTGGGAAGGAAAAAGATATACAATTTTTTTATGTATTAGAAGAAATTTAGGAACATTTATAAAAAAAAAGTATTCAAAAACGTTCGTGTGATCCCTGTCTTCCTTTAGGGCATCATCGGAGTAAAATGATACAAAGGATAGATAGACACTGACATTTTAAAGTTTAAAATAAAAATGCCTTTAGGCATATACTGAAACTGAATTTATTTCCTTTTGCTTTGTGTTTATGTTTATAAAAATAGTGATATAAACATAGGCAAAACAAAAAGAACATATATAATGTGAACTAAAGCCATTCATAAAAGCGAGCATGCAATGTAAGTGCACTGATCTCACAATTCTCTACATTGAAACTTAGACCAGGCTCATACACTGTCAACAATCATTGAAAATCAATAGCAACACAAAGCGATATAAGAGCCAGTAAAGTAATCAACAGATCTACTCGGTTTCAGCAAGATTTTCCGTGATCATGACATTAGCGTACAGCCGAAGTAATTCACTTGGTTAGTTGATTTTGTTTAGCAGTATATCTATAGAATATTTAATGCCAAAATCTAAATATCTTGAAAGCAATTTATGCATTAGACTACAGATATTTGTACATAATTTTATACTTTCTAGGAAAACGTAGGTTTCTTTTTAGATATATAGTTTGTAGCTGATAAAAATATTGTTGGTAATTAAAAAAATATATTGCTGGTGGTTTTACTACAAAAATATATTGTTTGTAATTTTTTTTTACAAAATGTATTGCTGGTAATTTTACTATAAAATTTATTTTTATAGATTTTTAGTGCTGTCTTGATTGTCATTTTAAAAAAAATATAAAATTGACTGTTGGTTACTTTGTTTTAAAAATGTATTGTTGGTAATTTTACAATAAAAAAATAAATTGCTGGTAATTTTATTATAAGACATATTATTGGTAATAATGATTTTGCAAAAAAAAATATTGATGGAATTTTTACTATAAATATCTATTTCATGCATTTCTCGTGTTTGAGGCTTCACTATTTGTCCATGGCTGAGAGCGTAACACTCCCTGTAGTCAGTGTAGATCTAGGAACAACAGCCATTAAGAGGTGTTTACCCCATCCTCAAAACCTCGAATCCGATCAGAGACCTTGATGATGGATGTAGTTTATCGACATACCCAGGACTACTCATTAGTGCGTGGATCTTACCCCTGTGTTGAGATGTAGTCAGCGCATTCTACAGTCTCGGACGACGGGTCCCGGACGACGGGTCCCGGACGACGGGTCCCGGACGACGGGTCCCGGACGACGGGTTCCGGAGTGATTCAGAGATAACGAGACTGTGGCTACAGAAAATGAAGTAAAACGGTGATGGTAGTGTAAAACAAGACGTGGGTCATACCGGATTAAGTATAGATGCTGTTCCATAAACCGACATGCTAGAAGCGCTAGAGCATGTGAATTGCAACCCGTTTGCCATCACCAATACTGGTTGCCCCGAAATTATTACGAGAATGTAATCTTCATGATGTGTCCACGTCGTTGTCTTGATTTGAATATCTAGGGCGTGTAAAGTGTCGTTGAGATATAGACAAGAAATTAACGCCAAAATATCGAGGAGTTGTTGAAGGCAGCCATTATGCAGGCAATAGCCAACATGAATAATAAGCAACGGATCAAAGCAGCCACCAATTTTCAAGGGCAAATCGAGTCTGCACAAGATAATTTATTCTTAGTTACCTAATTCACAGGATTCAAGCAATAAGTGTTAATTTTATTTTTTATTTATATTGAGTAGTATTTAACTTATGTTATTTGATTAATCCCAAGCTTGCATGACACTATTTTTCCGATACATACATACATACATACATACATATATATATATATATATATATATATATATATATTAAATGGTACTCGGCAGGAAATAATTTATTCACAAATAATTCGTAACCTCAAAATATTACTAACGCATAAATTGCTTCATATCAACATATTTTTATATTTTTCTCTTCCATGAACATTAATTGAACGATAAATTTAATTGTATTTATCAGGGTTAAAATGAGTGCCCCATACGTCTAATGTACAATTGGGAGTCAGGATATTTTTTCTACAGCATTCATTTAACAGAATGTATTATTCATATTTGCTAAGCTTAGTTAATTACATGAACATTAATATCAAGACTTTCATCTGGATCATTCTCATGACTAATCAGCGTCAGAAAGACGAGCTTTTTAAATATTACACTAAGGCGAATCAAACCAAGTTTAACCTTGCTTTTCGAGCTAATATCTCGTGATCATTGACCGAATTACAATACAATGACATTAAATATATATTTGATCAATAGAAATCCCATGCCTTTTCTCGTTTTGATTAATATTCTTCACAGAAACATGTTAATAATTATTACAAATTTTATAGAATAAACAAAAAAGGGCAATTTTATTCAAGACTCTCTCCCTTTTTGCAGATCCTCAAACAAGTATAATTTGAGAAAAATGCTTGAACAGAAGTCCAAGGGATTAATGCCGTTAAAAAATGGATGCCAATACCTTCTGAAGATGGCTTCTAAAAAAATAACATTTCATGGCGTTCAGTATTTTGTTCAATAGGGTTTATATGTTTTGTATATCAAACTCTATATTTTCTGATTACTTTGTAGCTGGAAACATAAAGTTTTAAGAAATTAAATCTTTATATAAAAAAAAATTGGGAAATGGCAATCACTATTGATACGAGTGTCATTAAAAAACGACTGAAATGCGGTTAAGTTTTTTTTTTTTTAATTTTTTATGTGTTAATTTTTTTTATTGGCGTAACTTATGTAGAAATTGTAAAAAATATTTTGTATGTCCAGCGCTTTCGGCTATATTTTAGCCTTTATCAAAGATTAATTTTATTTTTCCTTTTAACTGCATGTATGGATTGTTTATGCATGTATCTATAGTTATAGAAATTTTTTTATTTCTGATATAAGTTATTGTCTATATCATTTACGTCCCAAAAAGTGTAAAAGTTTTTTTTTAAAAAGCCATAAGTATATTCAATTTTGCTGCAATGGCGGATATATGGCGCGAACATTGACAATCGATCTCATAACTGTAGTAAGTATGCGATAAATATTTTGTCATTTTTCTTTGAATGAGTCACATTTTATGACAATTGTAAATAATGACTTTAAGCTGTACAAACATTTAATTAGCAGAAAATAAGGTGTTCCAATATGACGATAGGCATTTTCAGATAGAAGAATTAGTAGTCCATTTCATTTCCCATTATACGTTTCTAATTTCTGTTAGTTGTGATATAAAAATGGGCCAATTGCTCACTGTAGCAACGTGCTAAGAACTACATATATAGGTTTAATCGATTCGAAAGATGAATCTCATTTGTTTTCATAAAGCAGAAGAAAGAAAATTGTCCACGATAGTTTTCGTTTCTGTTCAGGTGTTGAATTCTGATCTATATGTCTTCTAGATACTTCTCGATTCTGGATGCTCATTCTATTTATATTTTCACTGCCAATGATTATATTTTGCAAACAGGAGTGGTTAACAATTTAACATTTTTTTCCGTAACCTCATAGCTTAAGAAATGGAAACTGATTCGTTTGCTTTTCAAACGGACATAATGATTGGAATGATTTTTCTTTTTTTATGTACCTCTCACGTTCAGGACGTTGGCGATCACGGCTCTCCACAATTTCATGTTTTTAAAAATTCTTAATGAATATTGTCTTTTTGATATCTCTCTTGAACTTTGCTATATTAGGTAGGGTATTAATTGTTATCCTCTGATACACTTACCAGTAATATCTCCTGTGAGTACCAAAATTTCGAAGTCTTCTTTCCTAATTTTATGACCGAGATATGTTTAAAATTATTTTTGTTATTAAACCCTTTTCTAGTGTAAAGAGTCTAAGTTAAGAGGCTAATGTTCCGGAATATTAAAACATAGCGTGGTTAGAGAGAAGTACGATGATTAATATATATATATATATATATATATATATATATATATATATATATATATATATATATATATATATATATATAAAGGTGAACATTGAAGTCAACACTCAGAGGGGCAACTGGCTGTTCCAAGAATAAACGATTAAAAGAATGTAGGAATGAAAAGGATGATTATCCTTGTGAATATCCAGGAGTAACGACGACAATGCATAGAGTTACCGACGGGAGTTTCTATTTAGCATATCTAGGAGCAAGACTTGCCTGTGCACGGCAGCCTCTCTGCAGACAGCAAATAATCAAGATATGACTACTCACGAGAGTTAAAAGAACAGCGTATATTACATGGTCACTCACAGTATGTAAAGGACCCAGTCTGACTGCCTGGTTCCAGGAAATATTACAATTTAGACCCTCTCGTTTTACACCCATTTCAAACTGCTTGTAGTATGCATATTTTATAGTTTCGGTGGTGGAAAAGTTAGTGAGATAGTATGTATATACCATTATAAAAATCTCTCTGAGAACAATGAATGTTTGCTATTCCTTTCTTTCATTTATTTGTATTAAGATGTTACGGATATAATAATATCTGTAATAGGGAAATGTAAACTGGGAATGATCCTTCTAGCCTAGTCCACCTATTAACAAATTTAATTCTCTTATATTTTGAGAAGGATTGGATAAGATTAAAAATTTGATCGCAAATAAAATAAGCCTTCATCCAGTGAAAAAGAGCAACATACCAAACCCTGCCAAACGTTCTCGAGATATCTAAGGCAATTGATCGTGTTTCAGCATTCTTATTTATAACTTCACAGATAATTTCAGCAATAACCATTAGCACAGTAGCAGTTGACCTAGAGAAGTAAAAGCCATATTGTTTGTTTGAAATAAAAAAGAGGCTTAGTCTATATGGCGTTGGTTAGAGCCTCTGGTACATTATTAAAATAATATTACATTCAGAGTTCTAACTATCAGAGGATTCACCCGTTCCCTGGGACTACAGAAGAACATTTTCAAAAAAACTGGAATGTATAAATATAGACTTTAAAGAGGACATGAGTCAGTTAAATATCATATATTTTAGGATTATTACAGGGATATCAGAGATTCCGCATATTTTATGCGGATCAATTTTAGAGATGACAGCAAAAATGATCGATGACTTTATATACATATCAGGCTTTAGGCACACAGGTCTAGGCATAAAGTCAGTCAAAAATACACCAGATGATTCAGTAAAGGATGATCATATGTCAATTTTAAGTGGAGAAAGAAAAGATTGAGGAATTATCCTTATTTAATACGCTATTATACAGCCACCAGCATTTAGAAGAATCAAAATTGTGAAAGGCTGTGCTTCATTCTGTCAGCTATCATATACTAACCATCACTAAGTATATGTTAGGAATTATCACGAGCAGTTAAAAAAAGGTGTCTATTGTAATCAAAGCTATCACTTTGGTACAGTAGGAAAAAGGTTATTTGTGCAGCCCATAGCGTGACTCAAGACTTAGATTGTGATTTCCCCTGGTAATTCAAGGAAATTTTATATATGCATACATATATCAAGCCATGAGTAAACTTATCGTCAGCTACGGATCAGAGCGTTTCCGTCACATTGATAAAACGAGAAATAAAATCTACACTCAGAATAGGCGTGAAGGAAGGATTTAGAGAAGTAAGGCAGGAATTAAGATCCCTCAAGAAACAATTTAAGGCCGCTAGTGGAAAAGAGCAACCAGCCCTCTCGGAACTGAGAAATATTTTAAGACAGAAACTGAAAAACCTGCAAAGAGCAGAAGGACATCGTCGCCGTAGGAAAGAGCGGGCCAGGAAGAGGGCTTCGTTTATCTCCGACCCGTTTGGTTTCGCCAGAAGACTTCTGGGAGATAAGAGGAGCGGCAGATTAGCATGCCCAAAAGAAAGGGTGGATTCCTTTTTGAAGAGCTCTTATAGGAACCCAAGAAGGGATGAGGAATTGGGATTTAATGATCGCCTCATTAAACCCAAGTTTGAGTGAGGTCAAACAGATAGTAATGGCAGCGAGATCAGCTTCGTCGCCAGGTCCGAGTGGCGTGCCTTACTCCGTGTACAAGCGTTGCCCCGGTCTTCTCATGAAATTATGGAAGATCATTAAAGCAATTTGGCAGCGAGGTAAAGTTGCAGAACAATGGCGATACGCAGAAGGTGTTTGGATTCCAAAAGATGAGAACTCAGCTTTTCTGCTAAAAAATAGCTTTATAGATACATCGGTACAAAAAGGCGGAATCCCTGGTATGCCTGGCTGCGTGGAGCATATAGGAGTTTTGTCGCAATTAATAAGGGATGCAAGGAGGAATAAAGGAGACCTGGCTGTTGCGTGGTTGGACTTGACCAATGCATATGGGTCCATACCGCACATATCTATATATATATACAGGGTGATTAAAAAGTAATTCTCTA